GCACAGAAAATGTACACTATCAATGTATATTTTTTTTCAACAAAATAAATATTTAAATAATTAATTGTTAAATATTAATTAATACTTTTTCTTTTCATAAAAATTACAGCAACCCAGGACTCAAAACTCTGAATTCAGGGAAAATCCAAAACAACAACCCAGGTTGCAATCTCCTGAGTTGCTGAATTTTCACCAGTTGCAGGTGCCAACTTTATGCTAGTGTGGCAATAACACGCAGCAATCATCATAAATGTCAACTCTCATCAGTGATCAATGCCCATATGATAACAGCCAAGCCTGGTCTGAGTGGGAGGATAGGGAAATGTTTTGTCCAAAGCCTTCCAACATGTTTTCATCTTGCCTGTGGAAAACAATCCACAGTTATGAGGAGGTGTGAAAGCACCTGTTGATGTGTTTGTGACAGGAAATTTTATTAAATCTGACACCTGTAATCAATATCATCAGATTTATTATTCATAAGGAGCTGTACAATTGAAATTTTTTTTTGAATCATCCTTATTTATTCTTGTTGATCCCAGAGACCTGGGTAGACATGCATTATTAAAGGTTTCATTTATGCATGGCCTTGGTATTATTACTACTCAGGTGATGCAATTGTTTGTTATGTCAATTATAACATCAAATATATTGAATAATCACTGTGATGAATTCAGAGACAAAGGAATTCACACATGAGGAAAGTATCAAATAGCAATATCATGTTTGTTTATTTTATTTTGAAAAAATACAAGATAAAAAAATTGCCAGTTATTGCATGGAATCCAAGGCTGGAACAATCACACTATTACATGTTCCAAGATCAATCAAGCAATTATTTGAATCCATTGGTGCACTTTGAAATCATATTAAAGGGGATAGGTTTGTATGCAATTTAAAATTTTTATGTTAATTTAGAGTTCTATCTTTCTTTGCTCTTGTAGGTTGCATTTTACAAATCAAATTATTTACCTTAATGTAATATTCATTAATTTTTAAGTTTCAAAATTGATTATTTAATCCCCCTACAATTGTTAGAGTTACTTTTCAACAAGATAAATTATCCCTTAAATGAAATTGCGTCTAAATCTGGATGCAATTTCTGTTTATTTAAGGGATAAGTATTTTTGAACAGGCACTTTAATTGTTGTAAAAATACAAATTACCTTTATTTCTTAGAGGATAATCCTCTTTATGTTAAAAATACATAATAATATATAATAATAAAAATATAAATAAACTATAATTAATCTTATCGTTATAATCTATTTGGAAGATATAATAATAAATAATAATTTTACATCTATAAATATAATCATTACATGTGATTTGTTACAGCAATAATAACAATGTGTGGAAAAATTCATTGAAGGTAGTCAGTTTTTTATTAACTTTGTTATTATTTCATTTATTGTTTGCTTTTTAAGATGTCTTTTGCCATAATTATTTTTCATGGGAAGTTGGCAAATTTTCCAATTTCTTTTCATAAGTTATTGAACAATCATATTTTTTAAATCATTTACCTAAAACTATTCCATTGATTCATCTAAGTTTAATTCCATTCATATACTTTCCTTCAATTTTAAAACAATTATAAAAAACTACAAAGTGAACATAAAATTATATATATAGGGATAAGTGTATATGAAAAGTATTAACAAAGATAACAAATACAATGGTTCTAATGAATATCAAAAAGCCATTGATTTTTTAAAA